CGAGACTTCAAAAAGGGAATTTATCTTAGCACCGAGCGAACTAGATGATAAGAGGTGTCCCTTACCAAGAGGGAAGGTAGGTTCACCAATGTTCTCATGAGATGGAGACTACAATTCGATATAGCATAAAGATGGTCTTTAATATTAGTCTCCTAGTTCCATAACTATGTGCCCAAATAGGAATACTATCTAGTGGATTATGTATGGTTCTAACTTTGCAAGAAATCACCTTCTTTTGGTGTAGGGTTTTATGACAATGGATTCCATGTTTAGCTCACATGGTGTATTCTCGGTTATGGCAAATGTCTCCAAAAGTAAAATGAATGAAAGAAAGTAATAAGATGGATACAAACTAGGATGACTTAAGGGGGTACTACTTAGTGTTGGTAAGGGTATGGGACTTTACCTATGCATTGCATAAGTTGGCCTTGAGAGGATCCAAGGAGGATGTTCTTATGTACTTATGTTATGAATGAAATACCTAATGTTGATCTTATATGATACTAGTTCCATTTGATGAGCATGATTTTGGTCTAAATTTCTATCCATGATGATGACTATGCATGATATGATGTTATATGAGGTAAAGGCATTGTTTATGGTCTCTTTACTAGTTTACTTGGTTTATGTGGGGTTATGGGTATTCACATGAGCATTACACTAGTAGGTTTGGATTGGGATTGTAAGTAAGGGTCTTGCATGCTTTTATGAAGTTCTCTAAAACATTAAATGTTTATATGGATTCATTATGATGTTACTCTTGCATATGGATATGAATATGTTTGAATGGTGTTGTGATTATGAGCTTGTATACGTTCTTGAATGTGCATAAAGTCTTTTAAAGTGAATTTAGCATGTTTATAATAAAATGTCCTTTTGTGCATGTTTTCAAATGGTTCACTTGTAAATATTCATACTTAGTACATGTGGTTTGTACGAACCCATATTTCTTCTATTTCTACAATAATGTAGGTTCGGCCATTGAAGATCTTCAAGGCCATTTTCAAGCAGGACTTGAAAAATTTCCAAGTTGTTGGTGAGTCCTCATGTCCGAGGATGAAACCTACTAATCTAGCTATACTATTTGACTAGTCTAAAGTAATTTGTGTTATTTCCTAGCTACTACCTCACCCTTTACAAGTATCACCACAAATCATGGTCATCACCACTGCTCGTGAAGAGGTTCACGAAGATATCTTGAGCAAGGAGGGCTTGTACTCCAAAATCTTAGCCTCTACCTCACCTTCACGAGCACGACATGGGCCGTAATACTTACCTGGCTCGTGAAGGTCCATCGTAGTTCCTGGACATGGTAACTGAGTGAGGTTCAATTAAGTAATTTTCTTTTTGATTCCTATTAAAGTGGGGTAGTTTTGTGTGTTTTTAGGGTACTATATAATATGTTTTTAATTCAAAATTCCCAAGACTAAGTCATTATACTCAGACAGCCAAATCAAATCAAAAACTCCCTCTTCTATAAATATTTCTTTCTCTAAAACTCAAGAAAGAAGAAAGAGCAATTCGAGCTAGGGTTTGTGGATTTCAAGGTTTCTCCCCAAAATTTCTTGAAGATTCTTAGTCAAGGCATGGAATATTTTCATCTATGGGTAGTTTTCACCAATAGAGTACCTTCAAATTTTGGTTTTTAAGATTCTAACTTCCCTCAAAACCTAGGGTTTTAATTTATGTCATGGGTCTTCTTCCAAAACGTTTTCAATTGTTTATTTATGGTTGATTATGATGAATTATGATTTGATTAATAGAATAGATGATTTATGATAAAAATCCCCCGTGGATCCATGTTCCCCCCATAATCCTAAATCATGAATTGATGATGTGGGTTGGTTGATATTGGAAGTATGTGAATTGATTATGTTTATGTTGAATTAGTTATTGAATAATGAAATTTCAATTATATTATGAAGTTATTGTATATGTTGGGTTGAGTGTTATTCATGACCCTTGAATGGGAAAGTTATGAGGGTTTGTACATCTTTATGAAAATTGTGTATACGTTTGCGATTCACTTCTAAAGTGAAGATACAATTATTATTGTGTAATTGTCGTATTGTTGCAAGATCATGCTTCACCTAACCCTACACATGACTATGTATGAATGTCTATGAATATGGTAAAGTAGTTGTGTTGATATAAAGGTTATTCTCATGAACAAACTATGAATATGTTTTGAAAGGTTACTAACATATTCATGATTCTAAGGTTGAAAGGATATTCTCACCTAATGAATCTATTAGCTATCATGATATCATGTTGACTTGAGCTCCTAGTGCATTCTTTTATGAATATGACCTTAAGTAACGACTTAATATGAATTTTAAAGGAAATTATGCTTAGCACCGAGCGAATATGAAAAAGAGATGGAAGCCTTTACGTTAGAAAGTCAGGCTTCCCAAAGTAAGTTATCTCATGAGATGGAAACTTTTTACATTAAAAATTCTAGGTTTCTAGTAGAAACTCTGTATCCCATAACTATGTGCCCACATAGGTCTTTAGCTAGTGGATCCACCTAAAATCTAATATGGTAGTTCTACACTAGGCAAGTAGGTACCTCTTTTATATGTGGGGGTAAGACCTCGGATTCCATGTAGCTCACTTGGTCTATGTCAGTTAAGGCTATATTTCCCTATATGACAAGAATATGAATTATGATAAGAAGTTGAACATGGATTACAACTATGACTTCTCAATATGTACTACTTAGTATGAGTAGGCGTATAGCACTCCATTCATGGCTTCCATACTTAATACAATATTTTTTCTAACCCATATTTTCCATATTTCGTATGGATTTAGGTTCCGGTCATTTAGATACATTTCTCCTTTCGAATGAAGATTGGATTGACTATTCTCTAAGCTCGCTGAGTCCTCATGGTTCAAGGACAAGACTAATTCATTTCTAGTTTCCTTTTTGTACCTTCTATTTTCAAAACTATGTTGTAAAGGGTTGTTACCCCAAGATTGTATTCGATTGTATTAAATTGTGATTAAGACAAGGTTGAGACTCTTATATTTATTTTTATGAAAGAAGACTTAGATTGTAAAAAAAATTAAATTATGATCATTTCTTCCATTTTTTGTTCATGATTATGCTAAGGGCTTGTATGAGACCCGTCAGGGTTAAGTACGTCATGTTACATATAGGGGTAAACCTGGGTCATGACATATCTCTAGAATAAAGTGAATGACTATGGGCCTTAAAAGCTATTATGAAAATATTATGGATGGTGAAAGGTTTTCTCATGCATGGTGTAAGGAGTTGGCATGTGATGTCTCTAGCTCGGATTGGTTATTTAATTATACCTTTCCATGGATGATAATATGACTTTGATTTAGATTGGTTACACAACTGTGTGTTTCTGTGGATAGTAAGACAAGTTTAGATTAATGACTATTTCGTGGGATTTATGCTTAGCACCGAGAGGATGTTCTAATGGAAGCTCTCCCATAGCTAGAGGTCGGGATTTTAGTAGAAATATTCTTATTTCATACCTATGTTCCCCCATAGAATGATTGTTCTATATATACATTAGCTAGTGTATCCAAGTAAGCTAGAAGTTCATGGTCCTTACCTTAGCAAGTAAGACATCCCTTTTCCACTTAGGGCAAACACTGGATTCCTTGTTATAGTTCACATGGTCTTCATGTCTATTGATGGTAAACTTCCCACAAAAAAAACTAAGTTGATTTTATAACGTTTCACGAATCTTCCTTTATTATTTAAATATGCATTATCAACTTTCATAATTTACTAATATTCTCAACAAGTTTTTCTATGTCTTAACTTAGTCATGCATTCAATGTTTTTTATTATGTGCCTTTATGATCATGTCTCATATTTTATTCCATTACCCTCATACTTAGTATATTTCATGTATTAACGCATACTTTCTTCCATAATTGTTTCACTAATGTAGGTCTTGTTGATTCTTATCTTTCCATTCGTGGCTAGTTGATTGCATTAGTAGATTTGAAGATTGGTAAGTCTTCATGTTTCGAGGACCGAACCTTTTATTGATTATTGATCTAACTCTTCCATATTTTATGTGATGTGTGGGTTAAGTCCCAAGAACTCTTGATTTACTATATGGCTTTGAGACAAATGTTAGACTTCCTCTTTTGTCAAACTCTATATGATATAACACTGCCTTTTGAACTCTTAAAATTTTATTATCTTGTGATGTATGATAACTGATTTTTGTAGGGCCTCTCAAATTCTTATACGACATGTCATGTATAGGGTTTACTTTCGGTCATGACAAACTTGGTATTTAGAGCACAAGGTTTTGAAAGGTTCTAGGATATCTCATAAGTCACGTCGAGTATAGTTGTGTACATGAGTGTGAAGTGTGCCACATTTATGATAAGAGGCAATCAGATGTTTCGGGATTTTCACTTATTTCATTACTCCTAAGTCACACCATAGAGTATAACAAAATATAAAGGTCCTCCTCTCCTAACCTTATTTATGTTTTACAAAATATGCCTTTGTGAAGGAATCCCTTGAGAGGGAACAAGAGGTCGATCTTGAAATCCTTGTGAAAATTCCCTAAGTGTTTACTTGTATCAATCGTTTTGTAGATTTTAAGACTTTAATAATATGCTTGGGTTGAGGGAAATGGATTTGCAGAGACTAGAGAGTCAGTTCTTGTGGTGATCTGTTCCTTAAGTAAGTTCTTGTGGTTAGTCAGTTCTTTGACATGTTTCCTATAGATCTACCTCTTCTTCCTCATTTCCATGACATTAACTTTGGCATTGAGGTCGATTTGGACATGCAACAAGTCTTTCATAACTACACAACATGGAAAGCTAAAGTACCACCCAAGATTTTGTGTCATAAGTACAAGAGCTTCTAAAATATGGTAGAAGTCTTAAACTAAATGACTAGCCTAAACATGAGAATATCCTGTTTGAATATGAAAAAAACAAAATAACAATAAGATAGAGGGAAGTGGGGGATGTAGAATAGACAAGAAGCTCACCACAACTCTAATATAATCCAAGATCAGTATTGGAAAGCTTCACAAGATATGCTTGTATCCGAAATTGGATCTACACCAAAGAAGGTGCAAAAAAGAGTAGTATGAGTAGGAAATAATATGAACCCAGTATATCTCATAGACAACAAAGAAGTAGTGACTGGAGTACATATAAGAAAATCATCCTTTTACCTATACAAGCTTACATGATACTTATCAGTCAAGTTTCATCAAAAATGGATAAGAAAATGTCACATAATGTCCAACCATCCAATAAGCACATGATAAAATCATAAGAAATAATGTAATGAGATAAAATACAATGCAACAACAGGAAATGATATGCCTCTAATGCCAAGTACTCTCTCAACCTTATATAAATGAGATTTCTTGGAAATACATCAAAGAGTTTAGGAGCCATGGGGTACTTGTGAGATCCATATACCAACACAAACGATATCCAGGTGTCTGTACGGATGATCCTAACGTACTATCATAAAATCAAATAATCCCATGACGGATGATCTTAGTGTGCCCAACTTATAATCATAACATCTCACAATCCCTGATATGGACGATATCCACATGTCCAACTTATACTAAATCTCATGTCCATGCATGTGCACATTATGATTTCAATAAAAGGGGATAACTATGCATCTCAAATAAAATATTGTTATGATATATAATCACCTCAACTATCACGAATATAAAGGTTTAGAAAAGAAATACAATCACACAGAAGAAATGAAGTCAAGAATACATCGGCCAATGCTCATATACACTCTCGGATTACAATCCGTATTCTATAGTAATAAATTTTCCCTTTACAACACTAGTGCTCATAGAAATTCTTGTCACACCTTTGGTACGAGACACTCATATTTTTCCCTTACCCATTGTCTTTTACTTTTTAATCTTTAATTAGGAAAAAGTCCTTCAACGAAGTCTGAAAGTCATATCATACCTCTAATATTGTACTCGTGTCCTATATCCTCGAGATTTTTCTTTTCTCTTTTGTAAATCTTTTGAACGTTTCCAATCTGTCAATTACACGATAATTGTAAGCAACGGAGTCCATAGACACTCATATTACTATAATTCTAGCCTAGATCTAATACTTCCTCAATCTGTAATAAAATTCCAAAATTGTAAGTCTTAAATTAAGTCTCAATTTACAAAAATATCATAAATCTTATTATGTTCATATAATACAACACACCTAATATTTAATTACCTATCTTAATACATAAAAAAACTAAATTATAATATGATAGATAATTAATAATATGTGAACTGAAGTCACTGACTACTAAACTAGTGGAGACAAGACAACAACCGTGACCAAATGCCCCTTTTTTGACACTAATTAATATTTCCCTAATCATTGTATATAATCATACCATCATTACAGTTTTAAATTTTGACCTAAATTTGCAGGCCAATAGCAGCAACCTTCTAAATTAAAAAGAATTCAACAGTAGAACAATCAAAAATCCATGAATTGACTTCTGTTACAAAACAAATTGTTTCCTTGCCATTTTCCTCCTCCTCATGGCCCCATAAAGATTTTCCTCGATATACTCCTCTCGCTTCTTAGGTGATAATGTATAGAACTATTAAATCCCATTTACCTATTTTAATTATATAGGCCAAGTGGTAAAAGCGTATTACATCAATTATGGATTTTACCCATTAAATATTCATGTATATTAATTACTTAATAAATATTCATTAACTAAATACTCATAGTTATCAAATTTTTCAAAGTTTACATTTAAAATTTTAGAGGAAGAGTCAAAATTATCCTAATACTCAAAGCGACCTAGCAGGTCATTACATCATCTACCATATAAACAAACGTTCTTCCTCAAATGGTAAAAGAAATGACAGTACTTGAATGCTCACAAAAGGAGGATATTTGATCCTCATTTCTAACTCGATCTCCCATGTAGCCTCGTTTACCGAACGATACTTTCATTGAACCTTTATTAAAGCAATCTGCTTCACTTTCAACATCTAATTTGCCTATGCAAGATAATTACCTACTCCTCCTCAAAAATCAAGTTTTGATTAAGTAACTCCGAGTCTTATTAAATCACATTAGCACTATCCTGATGATACTTTTCCAGCATCATCATGAAATACAAGGTGAACACTCGACAAATCAGGTGGCAAACCCAACTCATAAGCATCCTGACCAATACCCTCCACAATCATCTCAAAATGACCAATATACCTCGGGCTCTACTTTCCCTTGTTTCCAAATCTCATCACGCCCTTCATGGGTGAAACCTTCAATGAAACTAGCTCTCCAACCACGAACTTTTCAATTTGCATAAACTTTTTGCCTACTCTGAGCCATGAGGAGCTTATCTTGGTTCAACTTGACCTTTCTAATGATTTCCTCAACAAATTTATACCCTATGTAACATCAAATGCATCAAACTAACCAATTGGAGATTGGCATCTCCATCTCAATGCTCAAATGATAATTGTTATTGTATGCGAACTTTGCTAAAGGCAAGAGCTGATCCTAATGACCACCAAAGTGGATCACACACGACCATAAAATATCCCCAAGAATTTCAAACTAACCATCAGTCTGAGTAGTTCTAAGATCCAATTGACTGCCCAACTCCTTCTATATACACCACAAAAATGTAAATTGTGTGTCACGATCTAAATGATTGAATTTGGCACCCCATGCAAGTGAACTATCTCTCAAATATAGATTTTGACTAATTTTTCTGAATTTTTGGTAGTCTCAATAGGTACGAAGTGCGCCAACTTAGTCAATTGGCCCAAAAAGACGCATAAAGCATCAACTTGGGTATAAGCATCCTTAGAGTCACTCCTCTAGGATTTGGTGTTCATACTTCACTTGGTGACAATTCAAACACCCAGATAGAAAATCCATTATGTCCTTTTACATATGAAGCTAGCTTTAAGTCACGATACATCTTAGTAGCTCCCGAATGAATATAGTACCTCAAAGTATGGGTCTCCTACATAATCAATCTAGTAAAGTCACCGGTCTGAGGTACACAAATGACATTGTATCCTTAAAGTTCCATTTCTATCAAAAATTGCCTCTTTGGCTTCTCTTTTTAAAACCTAGTCTCGAATTTTATCTACATCGACATCGTTAAATAGTTTAATCTGAATATGCTCCAGTAAGGATGACCTATCCTCAATCAAGCCTAAACCTTACCAAATTCAGAAATATCAAGACATACAATTCTATTGGCCAAAGACTCGGCATCCATATCCAAAAAACGATATCCAACTTGTAATAAAGTTAGAAATGTCACCATTTTTTGACTCAGATTTGCTACAACATTCACCTTGCCTTGATAAAAAGGATAGTCATGTCAAAATATTTGAGCAACTCCAACCATCTCTATTGCTTTAAGTCGAGATCCCTTTAACTAAATATATACCAAATATTATGATAATTTTGTGAACTCCTCATAATGCATACTTCAAAAGTAATGCCTCTCAACTCTTCAACGCAAACACTAGAACAACTAACCCCAGTCATGATTAGGGTAGTTCTTCTCATGAACCTTCAATTCTCTTAAAGAATAATCAATCACCTTTATCTTCTGCATAAATACTCAACCAAGTCCATCCGAGAAAGATCAAAATATAAAACATAACCCTTTTTCTCCACGGATGGAGTCGAAATTGGAGCAATAATAAATAATTTTTTTACGTTTTGGAAATTCATCTCACATTAATCAGACAACTAAAATCCACATCCTTTGTGGTCAATATATTTAATAGGGATACAATGGATGAAACTCCTCCACAAATCATTGATAGTAACCTACAAGGCCTATGAAAATCTGATTCTTGATAAACAAAATAGGTTTGTCACAATATCGAACCACCAAAATATTCTTAGGATCAGCCCTAATACCCTTTTTGGACACTACATGTCCTAAGAATACAACTGAAATAAGCCAAAAACTCACCCTCTGAAAACATCGCATAGAGTTTCTCCTCTTTCAAAATTCCAAGAACAATCTCTTCAATAATTCTCATCTCCTCCTTACTACGGAAGTATATCCATATATCATCCATGAAGAAAATAAAAAAGAAATCCAAGTACGGTCTGAACACCCCATTAATCAAGTCTATAAAATTTGATGGGGGTATTAGTTAGCTCAAAAGACATCAGTACAAACTCATAATAGTCATAACGCGACTGAAAAATTATTCATAGGGATATCCACCCTAAACTTCAACTGATGATAACTGAATCTCAAATCAATCTTGGGGAAAAACATAAGCACTCTAAATTTGATCAAATAAATCATCAATACGAGGTATCAGGTACTTGTTTCTAATGGCAACTTTATTCAATTTTAAATAGTTAATACACATACACATAGAACCATATTTAATTTTCAAAAATAGCATTGGTGAACCGCAAAGAGATACACTTGGCCTAATGTAACAGTTACTCAACAAATCCTACAACTACTCTTTCAACTCTTCGAATTTGTCTAAATACATACGATAAGGAGGAATGGAGATTGGTTGAGTTTTGGGATCTAAGTCAATACAAAAATCAATATCATGATCAGGTGGAAGACTTGGTAGTTTATCATAAACCTCTAAAAATTCACTCACGACCATAATAGACTCAAGTATAGGAGTCTCATCACTAGAATCTCAAATATGTCCCAATAACCCAAACATCCCCTCTCCACTAAAAGACGAGCCTTAAGAAATAATATCACCCTTTTCATAGAGTGACTAAGAGAACCTTCCCATTCTATTATAGGAATCCCAATCATAGCTAATGTAATTGTCATTGCATGATAAGGAGATAACCAATTCATTCCCACAATAACCTCAAAAATCCATCACATATATGTCTTATAGATCCACACGAGTATCATATCCCATCAAAGTAACTATACATGATCAATATATTCGATTACCACTATGAATTCTACAGCAAAATTAGAAACATGTACAGAAAAATTAAACTATCACATATCATATCCAACTTGAATGATAACCTTCTTTCCTTCATAATGCTTAAATCTCACATGTTTAAT